AGGGGCTCCTTTGTGTATATACTCCCCACCTCCCATAGCACCAGGAAGGGTCAGACTAGGTTTCTGCCCAACACTACAGAGAGGCCAATGGTAGTAGAAAGACAATGGATAAAGGTGCTGGCCTACTCAACTCAGGAGAGAGGACGGCCTGATCAAACTGTCACTTGCATATCTTTGGTGAATTCTTTCATCTCTAATCATCAACCGGGACACATAGACTGTTCCCAGATGGTGCTTCTGAGAGTTAACTTATAGAAAATGCACATTAGCACATTTACAGATGAGTAAGGGCAGTTAACTGTAGGATCAAGGACCTGAATAGAGCCGTTTGCTGGGGAAACCGAGGTCAAGTGTACTGAGTCTGGATAGTACAAGTGTCATATCAAAGGCTATGAAGAGAGCCAATGGGGCAGCCGGATGCTACGTTTCACTTGACCTTGGGGAACACCTCAAATTGAGAGGTCACCTAGTGTCAACCAATGGCCGTAGTCCTTCCTATAGCATTCATATACTGATGCTAATCCTTGGTAGCAGGCGACTCTGGGATTCAAACAGAACTGCCCAATAGGCCCTCCTGGATCCTGGGTGTAGACAGACAGCAGCAAATAACTTCACTGTTACAGTTTTTGATGCTGGTAAGGGAGATCCACCAGGACTCCAGGCCACATGGCAGGAGGGAGACTGAGCACCAAGTCAGGATTTTGCAGGAACAGGTGCTCGGGTGGAGACTACAGTAGAAGTGAAAATGACCTATGCTGGTCAGGAAAGAAGTGCATTCCAGGGGCTGGAGTGATAGCACAGCAGGTGGGGTGTTTGCCTTGCATGCGGCCAACCTGGGTTTGATTCCCAGCATCCCATATGGTCCCCCGGGCACCATTAGGAATAATTTCTGAGTGCATGAGCCAGGAGTAACCTTTGTGCATCGCCGGGTGTGACCCAAAAAAACAAACATAAAAAGGGTGCATTCCATCATGACAATGCCAGTGGGCAGGAAGGGGGGTGAGACCTGGAGGAACCCAGAGAAGATCCAGTGCAGCGGGAGTTTGGGAGCCTGTGAGAATACCAAAACACAGGTCAAGGATGAGGCCTGGGGATGACACAAACTGTCCATCCTGAGGATGGACAGTTGCCAAAGACCCAGGGCATCCGGGCCAGCTTTGTTGGTCCATCCTGAGGCCAGGAAAAGTCACACTGGGCTAGTTTTTAGAGTGACTTTTTGAAGTTGAGGTTGATGGTCAGTTTATATTTCATAATTTTCTACAGGAGGCATAGTCCCACAATGGTAGCCAAAATGCCACTAGCTTTCCCAGAGACGGTAAGGTGGAGAAGGCAATCCATGAGACCAAGCTTAGCAAAGGTCTATGGGGTTCTCTGGGCCACCACCTAGGACCGAGAGATAATCTATGTAAGAACAGACATTTGGGGAAGGAATGGTGCTTGCTAAGTGGTTGGAGAGGTGTCCCAGAACCAGTGAATGGAGGTCCCAGAACCTAGGGTAAGAGTGTCTCCAGGAGAAAGATGTCATCAGCTGTCTCTTGCCACCACAGGCCAAGGAAATCAAGAACAAAGGTCTCCACAGAAGCAGACACAGACAGGTGTGGGGTCATGCACCAGGAGTTTGAGGCTTGGGGACTATACAGAGCTAAATTGGACAGGTGCCATGGCCCCAGAGCATCCAGGCCGGTTTTGTAGTTCTATCCTGACTCCTCACTGGAGAAAATGCTCCGTGGTCAGATGGCACCTACTAGCTGTTCCTATGGTAGAAAGTAACGCTAGCGATTAGGTTACTTGTACTTTGCTAACTATTACAGAGGGTTCCATGCCATCGGCATAGTGACCCCTCCATCCCAGTGCAGCTTTCTGGCTTATAAGCTGCAAGTCTGTCCTGGCATATCAACTACACCAGATTGGAGTGTCCATTCTTTTACCCCCACACTTCAAGCTCTAGCAGACCCAATTCCTCACTCAGGCCCTTCTTCCTGTACCTCCAGAACTGCCAGAACCCTGAAATGCTTCATGTACACATATATTGACCTGAGTTGTACAGACCAGTCCGTATCCCTACTCCTGAGAGTGGACCATTGGCAGTGGTCTTCTCCTGCTGACCCTTCTTTGCCCCTGATGACCTGTCCTGCTCCCCAACTTACTAACAGCTAGTTCTAAGACTACATCAGGCAGGTGGGCGGGTTTCTCTTGGTTGTTTTCTGGGAGGGTCTGTGTCCACCCAACATACCTTGCACAAACCATTTGCAGATCTGGGTTAGTTAAAAATAGGCAGTTGTGTCACTCTCCTTTTAGCTAAAAAGAAGCAAAGTGAACAAGCAGAGAGGCACAACCGCCAAGGATTTTATTTTTAATTCCCTCCCTCTCTCAGAAACCAAACTCCTTCCTAGTGTCCAGATATCTAAGAACAGAGGCTAAGCATAAATGCCCAAGAAATGCCGTCTGAGGTATTGAGCTCCTGGTTTTGTTCCCTATTTGCTATGTTACCTTGAGCACTTGGATTACCTCTCTCAGCCTGTTTCTTCACTGGTTCCTCAGCAGAGTGTGTGTGTGTGTGTGTGTGTGTGTGTGTGTGTGTGTGTGTGGCGGGGGATGGGGGTAGATGGGTATTGGGGGTGGGTAAAGACGATCTCAAACTTTGTTGTTGTTGTTGCGGGGAGGCAAACCCAGTGGTGCTCAGGGCTTACTCCTGGCTCTGCATTCAGGAATCACTTCTGGCAGGCTCAGGGGATCATATAGGATGCTGGGGATTGAACCAGGGTCAGCTGCATGCAAGGCAAGCGCCCTGGTCACTGTGGCTCCACTCCTCATCTCCAACTATTGGACTTTCTGTCATGGCTTCTCCCACCATAGCTTCTGACAGTCCTTTACTCCAGCAGCAACTCCTTTTTCCAGGAGTCCCCTGGAAGCTGAGAAGTGAGGCCCCAATCAAGCCCTGATTTGATGATAATAAATTCTTCCCTACTGAACCTTTGCTCAGTACCCCAGTGAGAACAATCAGGGTCTGGCTGCTCCAACAGTACAATGCTTGGAAGCTGTGAGCTGGAGAGGGGACATCCACCCAGTCGGGACTGAGATGGGTCCACAACAGGGCAACTCGGGAGCCTATGGGCAGATGCATGAACAGGAGCAGGAGACTTAGGCTGCTGTCTGTAGAGTGGCTGAGTAGAGGGAGTGCTGAGGGCAGAGCTTGTGGGGCCCAAGGCCAGACATGCTACAGGATAGGGACTGTAGAACTTTGTACTTGTGGTTCACTGTCACCTCACTCCTCTCCCCACAGGTCCTTATAGATGGGATACAGAATTGGTAGAATTCTGGAGGTTCTTGCTGTCCGGGGCCAAGGGTTCTGAGCACACAGTGACAAGTCACTGATACCCACTACCCTCTGATACTGCACAATCCTTAGACAGGGGGAATCCTTGTAAACAACTCAGAGAAGGTCAAGTCCCTTGCCCAAGGTCACAGGGTTGGATACTTTTCAGGGACCAGTCTTGGCTCTTTTGGAAATAAGTAGTTAGTCCTTTTTTTTTTGCTTTTTGGGTCACACCTGGTGATGCACAGGGGTTACTCCTGGCTTTGCACTCAGGAATTACTCCTGGTGGTGCTCGGGGGACCATATGGGATGCTGTAAATAAAACCTGGGTCAGTTGCATGCAAGGCAAACGCCCTTTCTGTACTATAGCTCCAGCCCCTCAGTATTCAGTCTTAAAGAGAAAATCTCCTGGAAGCAACAGGAAACTGCTTTATCTGGGTGGAAAGTATTCTGAGACACTCGGCACCAGGCCAGAGCAGTCTTCTCCACCAGGAGGAGCTGCCTGGGGGTACTGGGAGCCACAGGGAAGGGTCTGGCCGCTCCAATCCTTCCCCCTGGGGGCACCTGCCATTTGCTGTCCTCCAGGAGGAAGGGAGGAAGGCTGGCAGGGTGGTGTCTTCAAAGGGGAAATCCCTGGTACTAATTGGCACTCAGAGACCTTTGGGCTAATTAACCTGCTTATTTGTCTCTCTAGAGTAAATTAGAGGGTTTAGCTGGGGAGGGCGGAAGAGAGGTATTTGCCAGTGGCCACCTCCTTGGGGCTTTGGATTGCTTCACAGTGGGTGGTGTGGGCTGCTGAGGAGGCGATCCATTGGGTGTGCTACCCGGCTGCAGAGCTGTAGTGAGAGGCGCCTTCCCCACTGCTGTAGGCACATGCACACTGGGTCCCCAGGGCACAGCTGGACAGGTTCTGGATTCTGGAGTCTCTTTGGGGTGGTGCCTACAATTTATAGGCAGGAGGGGCCTGGAAGGATCCAGGTAGCCCTGGCTCACAGGGAAGCTCCTACATGGAGCTTTTCCCAGCCCCTGTGCCCCAGCATTGCCATATGGAGTCCACCCTTGGAGGCACCAGGCCCCTTGAGTGGAACCTATCAATCACATGGATTAGAGGCACAGCTCCTGGTGTTATAGAAAATGTGACTTGTTCATTCAAAGCATCAATCTCAGACTCCAACCTCAGCAATTTGGTCCTCTTAGGGATGCCCAGACTGGTGTGGAACCCTCAGCAGCATACAGATGTTTCTGGTAGGAGGAAGGGGCCCGGCTGTCTTCCTGTCTCCCTTCCGTGGTTCTCTCTGGCGTGGGGTACTGGGGTTGAGAGGCTGCCTCTGCAGGGTTGAGCTGTCCAGGACTATGCTTACCCAGGGGTGGCTGCTATTTCCCAGGCTGCTGAGTACCTTTGCGTTGAAGGTTTCTGTCATGTTTCATGTTTATGTTTAATGCCAGTGCCCCTCAAGCTACAGACAACTGTTAGGGGCCTCTGGAGGCTTGTGTCCCCGACTCAACTAGACACCCACAGCTTGCTGGCTGCTTGGGATCCCTGTCAGCAGTGAAAGGGCAGGGGAGGGGCATTTTCAAATCATCTATTGGGAAGCCAACTTGCAGGATACTCAGTGTCCTTGGCATGCACCTAGCCTACCTTGGGGGAGGCGACTCAGGTCCAGTGTCCTTTCCTATCCTGCAGGGGCCCATGGCATTATCAACAGTGGCCTGATTCCTGCGCTTGTGTGGAAGCTGCAGAACGAGAGTGAGGCAAACCAGACTCTGCTCCTGGACACGCTGGCCTCCTGCCTGATGGAGGATGCCACCGAGGCACTGAGCACCCAGGTGGTGACTTTCCTGAAGGAGAAGCTCAGCAGCCTCAACGACAAGATCCGCATTAAAGCTGCCCGCACGCTTACTGCCATCAGGCGAGGCTTCGTCTTGGGGGTGAGTGGGACAGACAAGGCAACCAGGCTGGCCCAGAAGACTGCCTGTTTCACCTAGGCACCCTGAGGTCCTGCAGAGGTGCCCTGCCGGGGAGGGGGAGCAGGGAGGGCAGAAGAGGACTTTTTTCAGTTGCTTATGCTATGAGAGACCTGAGGATGCTCTGGGCTTAACTGTACCCCAGGAGCTTTTCCAGTCTCGGGCACAGTGAGATCCATCCCGAAGAGGAAGGCAGGCACGGGAGCACAGCAGTTTATTCTGCGGGTCACTTAAGCATGCAGGTGTTTGCTCTAGATTTGATAGTTACAACCCCCTACAAGGGCGATCGCCTTTCCTTATGGATAGGAAAATGGAGAACTGGTGTCTAGTCACTTGTGACCCATCATCCCATGTCATTGCAGTTTAAACCTGGGCCCAGGATCTGAGGAGGAAGATAGTTGGGGGGGGGGGGGTAGTGGGGGGTGGGCAGGGGGCAGGGGGAGAAGGAGCCAGGCAGTGCACAGTCCTAGACAGTGACACTTCTGGAAGATGGCAAGCCACTGCTCCCTGGCCCCTCTCCCTGTCCAGAGGTGTGGTCACCTCGCTCTGCCTGGGTCCCTCTTGCCTGCTTTAGTCCCATCTTTCCTTCTGCCTGGGCTTACAGGACCTGGGTCTGTTCTTCTACATTTGTGGCCCCAGACCCAGGTTCCCATGAGGCTTGTGCACAAGAAATTATCAGTGTCCCACAGCAGTATTACCCTTTCATATCTTTTTCTTGTGTGGGGGATCACACCCAGCAATGCACTCCTGGCTCATACACTCAGGAATTACTCCTGTCGGTGCTCGGGGGACCATATGGGATGCTGGGAATAGAAGCCGGGTTGGCCACATGCAAGGCAAACACCCTTCCCGCTTTGCTATCACTCCAGCCCCTGACCCTTTCAAATCTTTGCACGATGTTCTGTTGCACTGTGTTCAACCACTGATCTACTCTCCTTGGGAAATAGACCCCCGAGCCCTGGTTCACCAGACTGATTTGTGTGTCATTCCTGAGGCTTTGGACCAGTGGATCCAAACAGAGGGAGTCACCTCACCTCCACTCTTGGAAGCTCACAGCAGCATCTGGACATATTTTTGGTGATTCAAACTTGGAAACAAGATAATACTCTTGACCTTGAGTGGGAAAAAATAAGGCATGTTACTTTAATGCATAGGACATCCCTTGCCAATAAATTATCTGACACAAAATGTCAAGAGTATGGTCCCAAGGTAGACAAACCCTGCTTTCACCTCAGCTCGGTGTCTGGACCAGGTCCCACCACACACTAGGTGCTCAGTCCAAACTTGGTGCAGGACTAAAGGTGAAGAATCCCAGAATGTGAGACCCAGACTCTGAACATTTGAACAAGGTCCCAAGATCAAAAGCTCATCTCACAGTATCAGGGCTAGTGACTGACAACCCTGTGCTTTCCACGCTGTACTCCCAGAATGTAAAATTATATGTCTGGAGATGTTAGTGAGAGTTCAACCCACATGTGGGCTCTGTGGGTGAGGATTGAGGAAGGTTGATTAAACTAGGTGACTCCAGTTTTTTTTTTTTTTTTGCTTTTTGGATCACACCCGGTGATACTCAGGCGTTACTCATGCGTTACTCAGGAATCACTCCTCGTAGTGCTCGGGGAACCATATGGGATGCTGGGGATCAAACCCAGGTCGGCCATGTGCAAGACAAATGCTCTACCCGCTGTAGTAGTGCTCTGGCTCCCTAGGCAACTTCATTCTTTGCTGCAGAATGAATATGCACTGCATCACCTCCCTAGGACCCATGAGAAGTGTTTGTTGGTGCAGGAAATCCTTCTCCTTAAGGACCTTATTAACAGTCTCACAGTTTGGGAAATTCTCAGTTTATCCTCATTTTCACAGCTTCATGAAATGCTAGGGTTCCAAGTGACCTAAAATCTCACCTCGCCCAAATGTCCTACTGAGAGCGACTCCTCATCACCATTTACCTTGGCAGCTTGCTCCCATTTGCATGGCTTGGCCATTCCTGATAGTTTTGACTCCTATGGAATCAAAATGAGTGGCCGTGTGGCTTATATCCTGAGTCTTATTCCTCCTGCTTTGGGGGCCAGTGGGCACACATCTGTTTTCTATTTTCAGTGATGCTTTAGGGAAAGGCTCCAAACCTCAGTTCTTCTAACCTCAGGAGTGCTGCTAAGCATGGAGATGAGATTGAAGCTCTCACAGAAACGCTCTCATAGAAGCCAAGCCAGCAATGGTCCAAATACAGATTGCTTCCTCCATTGTCCCTCTGGGGAAGGTCCTAGGAGGTACCTTATTCCTTTTCCCAAGTCTCACACCCAACAATGTTTTCTCTGACCCAGCATCCCTCCGGAGGGTAAAAGGCAGGTGTGTCAATATGAAGTCATACCTACCCTGGTGTACTTACTGGAAGACCCAGTGATGGAAGTGCAGGCCAATGCCGCGGGGGTTCTCATGTTCGCCACAGTGATCACAGAAGGTGAGGCAGCTATTGTCAAGGTGGGTCCATGTGTGGAGGGAATATCCTGTGTGGTCATCTGTGCTACCCAGGGATGCCATTGCAGCTCCTAGCATGTTGGCTGTCCTAGGAGCACCCAAAACTCTGGGCCTTGTGCTCAGCGTCCTCTGTTCATCAAAATATTCCTGCTGGCTGGCTGAAGATTTTTCAAGTTCAGATCCCAAGCTTCACCATCCCTCTTTCCTGACCACAGCACCTTCATGAACCTGCAGCCATCCCCTAGTCTTACAAACTAACCCTGGTCCTCTGTCCCTTCCCACCAGGTGAATAATCCCTGGGTCTGGATTTTATTCTTCACACTTAGGCCCCGTGTGACTCATGATCCTGGAATTGATTTCCTGTCTCCTCATGATTTTATTTCTGAGTTATAAGTCCAGTGATTTTCAACTACTGATCCACTGACCAGTTCTGGTCCTTAAGTATAGAAATATTGAAAACCCACAGTCTACCAGCTTGGTTATAATGGCCAGTCCTTGTACTGCTATGAAACAGGGGTGCTGGTCTGCAGGAATAAATAGGTCAAAGAATGCTGGTTTAAGTAGAATTTGCTTCCCTGATGTTTTTTGATCAAAATTATTTTTCTCAAAGCTAGGACTAAATAAAAGTACAAGATGATCCTACTCAGCTCCCAGCCCCAGACCAAGTTTTCTACTCTGAGTCACCCAAACCTTGTCTAAGCTGAGGAATCATGGCTGGATTTCATACCTGGAGTCTGGTCATCCAGGTTGTGAGCTCTGAAAATGGTCTGACCTTCCCCACTGACCTTACCAGCCCTTATGCTTTTCAGATGTGCCATGGAGGACTGTCTGGGCCTACAACTTTTGATCAGTGTGCTGCAGAGTACTCCTCTGTCAAGTTAGTGCCCAACCTGCTACTAATGGAATTTGAGACACACTCGAGTAGGAGATGTTCCTTTCATTCAGTCAGAGGTGTCTAGGGCATGGGCCCCCTTTGAGTGTGTATCTCATGGGCATCTGCACAGTGCTTTTGCCCAGGGAAATGCCCAGGGAGTATGAGACTACTTTTTTCAGGCAACTGAACCAAAGATTCAGCCATGTGCTTTGTCCTTGGCTCGATAATGGTGGTTCAGATGTCTCAGGCAAAGGCACCAAAGGCTGGTTGAGTATGAGAGTGATGAGTGAGTTGGAGAAGTGCTATATGTAGTGAGCATAAGACAGCACGAAGCGTCAAGGGAGGGGTGTTACCCTTAAGGTTGATGGAAGTTGGCAGATGTTGGGAATGGTTAGACAAGTTTTGACTACAAAAGTCAAGAGTTTTCACTGAGCATGGCAAGAAGGCTGGAGCACAGAGCAGGCATGCAGCTTTTTCCACAATAAAGATTGGGCAAAGTAGTAGGTTTGGAGAGTTATCTAGTTTACATGGTCATGTCTGCATCCCACATGAGGTTGTAAGTGTCATGAAGTCATATGAAACAATTTATATATATGCATATACATACATACCGAGGGGCTGGAGCAATAGCACAGTGGTAGGGCATTTTCCTTGCATGCAGCCAGCCCAGCCGAACCGGGTTTGATTCCTTCGCCCCTCTCGGAGAGCCCGGCAAGCTACTGAGAGTATCTCGCCTGCACGGTAAAGCCTCGGAAGGTACCCGTGACATATTCAATATGCCAAACTCAGTAACAACAAGTTCTTACAATGGAGATGTTACTGGGCCCGCTCGAACAAAAATCGATGAACAACAGGAGGACAGTGCAGTGCTATACATACATATACATATATGTACACACATATATATTCTTTAAGTTTGGGTTCGTTTTATGAGGTCAGAGATTACTCTTGGCTCTGTGTTCAGGGATCACTGCTGGTGGGAATCAAGGGACCACATGTAGTGCTGGGGATCAAACTGGGGTCAACTACATATGCACGGTAAATGTCTTAACCCCCATACTATCTTTTTGGCTCAACATTAGGTATTTTTGTTCTTTGTGCAGTCTAGGTGTTTAAAAATGAATTTCACCTAAGTAAATTATTAAATTTTAACTTTTATTTATTTATTTTTGGGTTTGGGGTTACACCCAGAGATTGCTCAGGGGTAACTCCTGGCTTTGCACTCAGGAATCGTTCCTGGTGACATCCCATGTCTGGGATGCTGGGGATCAAACCTGGGTTGGCTGCATGCAAGGCAAGTACCCTATTCACTGTACTTTTGTTTCAGCCCCTATTTTTAACTTTTAAAAGACCATTTGTATTGCCTTGTGAGGTCTATTTTGTTCAAAAATGAATTTTTTAAAAACATTTTTATTAGTGAAACACCATGAGGTACAGTTGTAGACTTACAAATTTTTGTGCTTGGGTTTCAATTATACAATGATCAAATACCCATCCCTCCACCAGTGCCCACAAAAATGAATTTCATGTAAGTAAATAACTATATTTTAATTTTTAAAAGACAATTTGTATTGTCTTGTGAGGTCTATTTTGTTCAAAAATGATTTTCACATAAGTAAATAACTATTTTAATTTTTAAAAGACTGTTTGTATCGTCTTGTGAGGTCTGTTTTGTCACGCAGACCCAGGGTGGATGAGGAAAGCCAGTTAGAAGTCTGGAAATGTTGAACATGAATGAAACTTGGCCTGGGATAGAGGCATATAGAAGTTCAGGGGTCTGTGTAGGGATGATAGAGGGAATCTAGGTAAAGGGTGATGCTTCCTTGAGCATGACTGGCTATTGGGTAGGGGTAGAGCCTGGGGGATGAGAGCATGGCTCCATCAGGAACTCCTGGTATTGGTGGCCAACAGGCAAGTATGCAGCCCTAGATGCAAACGCCATTTACCCACTCCTGAATTTGTTGGACTCACCCTTGATCGAGGCACGCCTGAATGCTGTCAAGACCCTCACCATGCTGGCTGAGGCCCCAGAGGGCCGGATAATCCTGCGGGACTCCGTGACCTCCTTCCGGACCTTGGAGACAGATAAGAGCATCTCTGTGCAGCGAGCAGCCAGGATTGCCATCAAAGTTATTGAGTGGACACCCTGACCCTCTCATGTCCCACTGGCATTGTGCCTCAATAAATGGACTGAAATTCTATGTTGCCTATTCTATGTTCCTGGAGTGCGGTTACCTCTACTAGTTTTCTGCCAATTGTGGGAATGCCAAATCTGGAACTGAGTCATGGGGGTCTAGGTGAGGGAACATAGGCTCAACCCCCAGCCTCAGAAACAGGGGGATGACATTTCTGCTCTCTTTGGGATCCTGGAGTCTTCTCAGCAGGAAAAGAACACAACAATACTTAAGTGATGAGGTGAGGAGTTAGCAGGGAGGTGGCAGGGAGAAAGAAAGACAGCAGGCCCAGGCACTCCCCAAACTCCCAAGACCCAAATGACTAGTCCCTAAGGATTTCCCTAGGCCCTTCCCTAACCAGCTCATCTCTTCCCTTTCCACACTGCTCTGCAGGAAGGAATGGGAAAGGTTGTAGTTTCACTTGGGCTTTTGCTGGAAGTGGGTGAGTTTTAAGAGAATTCCCAGGGATGAGCATACCTTAAGATATTTCCCCAGAGAGCTTAAATCTTCTTCAAAGCCAGGAAGTCATGGACAGGCCTAAGGCCCACCACCTCCTGTGCCCTCCCCAGCATGGCCTTTTGGGGAGTCTCCGAGCTCTGTCTCCATATGCGTGATTTCTTATAAAACGTCACTTTGGTGAACCTGGCTAAGGAGGAAGCACGGGTAAGAAGCCAGAAATGAATAAGACCCTCATAATCTCCTCTACCTAATATTGCCTCGTAGATTCTCAAGTTAATTCTAACCTAAACTAGGAAACTGCAGGAGCTGAGTTTAGCTTCAGTGTTGAGCTGATTTGTTTGGGTTGAGCTGAAGCCTAATCTTTCTAATTTTTGCCTCTGAGTTTTTGAGTCCCACCTCCCCTCGATAAACAAGATTTCCCCCTTTACATTACCAATCAGTATTCCCATTTCCTGCTGGACAGAACCTCCCCAAACTTGTGGGGTACCTGCTTCTCCCAGAATTAATACCACCATCATGAACAGAATCCCTGCTTGAGTTCCCACTTGCAGTCCTTTTATTGATCACCAGGGGTCTTCAGTTTCCTATGAAAAACAGAGACATTTGTATCCCTATAATTAGAGATTTAACACAAGTCTGCCCTCTTATTCTGAAAAGGGACTTGCTGCTGAGCTGAGCTTGGTTTCAGGTTAAATCTCATTTTCAAAAACACGGTTCCATAAAGCTGAAACTTTTTCTCCTCCAGAAAAAAGAGGTTCAAGCAGCTCAGTGTTTTCCTATGCCAATCCCTCATTTACTGATTACATGACCCCCATCGCCTTCCCAAAGGACTCTGGGTAAGGTCACTAATATACTCTCTGCTAAGATCCTCAACTTTGGGGCTTGGCCTACTGCAGTAATCTAGATTTGGATGCTTGCCATAGGGTGCCTGATTAGGTTGATGTCTTGGTCTTTGGAATTCTTTTCCTGCTGGCGACCCTCTCCCACCCTTGACAGTCTTACTTGCCTATCTTTAGATCTTTTCTGCCAGGTTTCTATTGTAACCTGGCCTGAACTCTGCTTTCTATTTCCCGAGTCTGAGTCTTCAGTCCTGTTCTCTTTGGTTCTAAACCCTTTTATCCATCTTAGCACCTACTGTTAAATATCTCCAGGCAAGTGTTAATACCAATCCTTCACAAACTTCCAAAAAATAATTTAAAAAAAAGGAAATACCTTCAAATCCTGAATGAGGCCAATTTTTTAAATTTAATTTTTAATTTCATTTTATAAGATTGTTCACAATATTTGATTACATTTAATATTCAAACACCAATCCCACCACCACTACACCTTCCCACCACCATATTTCCATCCCGAACCCCAAGCCCTGACCCCAGAGCAGAGCAGAAATAATTTCTTTTGTATTGAGTGTTATGAATAATCCACTAAAAATGAGCCAAAAAAGGTTTCTTAGAGGAAATTTTATGTGAAGATTGTTGTATTTTACCCAGGACCCATTAAGCCTTCCTATAAGATATTAGTAACATGTTGTTAAAGGTTGAGTATTGTGTTCTTATATCTATATCTGTATAAATATATTTCCCCCTAAGATTGGTTGCCTTCTACTTTAAACCCAATCAAAGGTGGCATGCTACTTTTTGGTGGTGTATATTGGTGGTGTAAATTGGTGTATATTTTTGGTGGTATACATTTATGGTATAAAGTATGAGATGTCGCACGGCCACTAATGCAGTCCAGGAATAGATTCACTCATGGGTGAGGCTCATCTGAGCGTGTGGAGAGTTGCTGTGAGCTTGGCAACAGTTGAGTTCTAGAGGTTTTTGGCTGCTGGGGCTGGCTCCCTTGGGGCAGGGAGGGGCTTCACCCATACCCGTCTGGGTTGTCCCAAATGCAATATATGAAGCTAATATTAACACATCATAAGAAATTTATAGACCAACTTTATTTAGAGTATATGTACATAAATTCAACAATATATTTGCAAACCAAATCAGCAACATGAAAAAGCATTATACATTATAATCTGTGTGGCCAACTGAATGTGTATCAGGAATTTAATATATAAAAGTGAACTAATGTAACAATGGACAAAAGGATTCATGTTAACAGATAATAAATGACAAAATATAACACCCATTGATGATAATGAAAGAAGAAAATATCTTCAAATTAGTACTAAAAGGGAACATCCTCAACCTAACAAAAAAATTAGCAACAACTCACAGCTTATATCATGCTTAGTGTGTGAAAGACTGAACACTTCTCCTAAAGATTAGTAACAACTCTCATAAATTTTACTAAATGTTGCACTGGAGGTTCTAGCCAGGACAATTTGGCAAGAGAGGAAATAAAAGATATCCAAAGGGAGAAGGGAAGTACCAAATGATTTCACTCATAGGTGGCTTGTAGAGAACAAATAAAGGAATAGACAGTAACAGATGATGACAAACTCAAGGATTTTGATTACAAAACCAGTATTACCAAGAAGTAGGCAGGGAGAAGGAAGAGGAATGACATAAAGACAGCATGATGGGGTCTTCAACATTTTGGTGGGGGCAGAGGTACAGTTACCAAATTTGTATATCAAAACCATAGGGTTAACACTATTGTAACTATTTTACCTAAGTCATAATAAAATGAAAACTATTTTTAAAAAATTAAAAGACATTAAGATTGGGAATAAGTAGACTTTCTCTAAGTGCAGGTTTCTTGATACTGTAGGTGAAAAAACTCTAATTTGCCTTAAAATGATTAGAATTTTAAAATTTAGCAAAGTTTTAGAGTAGAAGGTGATATGCAAAAGTTGTTTTTCTATAGCATAACCAAGTCAAAAGAAGGAAAAGGAATCCCATGTATAATGTCCTGAAAAAGAATTAAAGTATCTAGGAATAAATTTATCAAATGAAGTGCATAACTTGTATACTGAAAACAAAACGCTGAAATTTTTTTAAATTTTAATCAGATCAGATTGAATCATATCAGACCACTTGATATAGAAGGCAGTAAATAAATACCTTCATGCAGCTCAAACATGTCTCAAATTTGTTTGACATTTTTATACCATTTCTACCTCCCTCCCCCCAGTATGACCTTTGTAACTGTAGAATGTAGAACTGTAGAATGAGCGATAGCACAGCGGGTAGGGCGTTCGCCTTACAAGCGGCCAACATGGCCGACCCGAGTTTGATTCTTCCGCCCCTCTCGGAGAGCCCGGCAAGCTACCGAGAGTATTCGATATGCCAAACACAGTAACAACAAAAGTCTCCAATGGAGACGTTACTGGGCCCGCTCGAGAAAATCGATGAACAACGGGAGAACCGTGACCATGACTGTTTGCACTGTTATGGGGAGATGCTGCAGAAGTTGCACCTGACCCACCTCTTTCTACATCTGAAATTTCAAATTTTAATTTTTTTAAAAAAATTTTTTTTTGTTTGTTTAACCATGGGTTTTTCATTGGGATTGTTTCCCTCAGCTTCTGGTAGTCCAATGATTTATTTATTTATTTATTTATTATGACACAGTAACAACAAAGTCTCTAATGGAGACGTTACTGGGCCCGCTCGAGCAAATCGACGATCAACGGGAGGGCCTTTACCTTTTACCTTTATTTATTTATTGAATCACTGTGGGAAAGGCTACAAAGCTTTCAGGTTTATGTCCCAGTCATGCAAACATCAAACACATCTCCCCCTACCAATACTTATTTTTTACCATGAAGAACCCCAATAAAACCCCACCCCCCACCCCTCCCCGTCCCTGTGAGGCAGATGAACTCCAGTTAACACTCTATCTGCTTTGATTAGATTCATTGTTTCAATAAAAGATTCACCACTATTATTCAGAGTCTACCCCCCCCCCCCCCCCAAATCAGACATGCTGAAAAAGCACCGCGAAGTGACCTGCTTTCTACAGCTGGGCTCAAGAACTAAATGTTGGTCCTGGATCTCTGCTATCCTACCCACCGACCCTGGAAGCATTTCCACTGAAAGTCAGATAGTCAAGAAATTGGTTTCTGTGTTCTGGAGTCGTGGCCGTGCTGGAGCGTCGCTCACGGGGGGCAACCGGTGGCCTCGGTAGGGCGTGAAGGGCGGAGCGAAACGCCCCCCTTCCCATGAGGTTTTAGTCGCCCCCACACTCCCAGCTCATACCTGCTGTCCACAAGGCTCCCATGTGGCCGCCATCTTTCTTTCCAGAGAGGAGAGGGCGAATGGGGCAACACCCTTTCCCCTCCGGCAGACTTGATGGGCTGGATCAACGCATAGTCCGTTCACTTTTCTGCTCCAAGCTGCTGGGTTCTGCATTAAGTCCTTGTGCTTCTGGGGCCATGGCCGTGCTGGAGAGCCGCTCGCGGGGGGCGACTGGTGACCTCGGTAGGGCGTGAAGGACGGACCGGAACGCCCCCCGACCCATGAGGTTTTAGTCGCCCCCACTCCCCCGGCTCATACCTGCTGTCCACAAGGCTCCCATGTGGCTGCCATCTTTCTTTCCAGAGGGAGGAGGGCGGAAGGGAGCAA